GGCCTCGGAGAGGTTGGGCAGGGCCACCAGGAGTGTGTGCTGCTTGTGGCTCTCCACTCCTGTCACCATCGATTCCTCCAGCAGGCCGAAGTCATACTTGCCCAGCTCAAACATGGACAGCAGGAAGACCTTGGGGTCCTGCAGGCCCTCCGCTGCAGGAGGCAAGAGCACCGTTCAGTGGTCTCTACATCAGAGCAGCCGTGGTGCCTGACAGCTACCTGGGCCCAAGCACTTGCCAGGAGTCTGCACAGCTGTGGCTTAGGAGCGTGGGCCCTGGAGCCAGGCTGCCTGAGTTCAGACGAGCCTTGCTACCTGTGTGGCCTTGAGCAAGTTACCAAACCTCTCTGGTCTGTAAAATAAGGTGATCATTTTACCTACTTCCTAAGGTAGTGAACTGAGTTCATGAAAATGGTGTGTGGCCTGTGCTGAGCCCGCAGTGAACGTTAGGTGCCATCAGTGATAGGCGCCAGCATCTGCATGGGTGCATGGCGTTGGCACTGCGTGCTTGATAGCTAGCACACAAGCCAATCCATGTTATTTTCTCCCTTAATGCACGTGGTGGGGTCTCTGTCACCTGTGACTGAGAAGTGCCAACTCAGGAAACGGAGTGTAAGTGCCTGACTTAAGCTTTGGTTGAGGAGGCATCCATTTCAGAGGGCTGTCTGGAATAAACAGGCTGGCCCAGCCCCAGGAACCAAGCTGCCCCCCACCCTTTGTGTTAGAGAATTTGGTGGATTTCAATATCTCCCCACTTGGGCTACTTGTTTTCTCTTCCTGAGCTTTAAATTCCCGCTCTTACAGTTTAAATTCACCAGTAGGGTAACACCAGAACCCTAGGCCCCTGCCCTCAACCCCAGTAAAAGCAGCACCCAGGCCTTTGTTCCTCTGCGACCCCGCTGTGCGGTCCCAGGTCTGCTGTGTGATTGCCAGCCCTGTGAGTAGTAGACCTGTGTCCTTCCAATGTTCCCAATGGCTGTTGCTGAAGGGCAAGCATCCACCTTCGCAAGAACCGGGAGGGCTTGTCCGTCCCCTTGGTTATTGGTGGGCTGAGACTAGCACACAGCAGAGCTGGCAGCATTGCACTGTGAGGCCTTGTTCAGCCTCCAAGTGTGACCTTAGGTGACCCGTTTCCCACTGAATCTCAGCTGGAAAATGAAGGGGAAGAGGCGGGCAATCCCCCAAGGATCCATCCACCCCCGGGCCCCCCAGAGAGGGCACCTCACCTTCCAGCCGCTGCCAACAGTCCTCCCGGATCTGCCTGAGCACCCTCTGCTCGGAGAAGGTGCTGGGGCGGCGGCTGCGCGAGGCTGCGAGGTCCACGTCCACCTTGGAGCGGACGAAGTAGAAACCTTTGCCCTGCTGCAGGAGCCCGCGGGCCAGCTGGGTGTGGCGGGCAGTGAAGCTGTCTGGGGTGATGATGATGAAGAAGTCGTAACGGTCCACCACCACCCGCTGGAGGTATTCGTCAGCCTGGAAAGTGGGCGTGTCTATGCCCGGCAGGTCCCAAATGATGATGTTGAAGTACTTGGGGTGCGGGTATGGCGTGGGCTCCACGGTCATTTCTACCACACCCGTGCCGGCCGACTTGGGGTCCTCATCTCCCAGCCCCCGGATGGCGTTGACAAAGGTCGACTTGCCTGAGCCTATTGCCCCAGTCACGCCAATGTCCAGCCTGACATCCTCCAGCGAGTGGAGTGTGGCCTGCAACTTGGCGGCCACTGCTGGCAGGTTCCCCGCCTCGAAGGTCTCCTTCAGAGCCCCGGTGTCCTTTGACAGCTCCGAGATGTTGAACTGGAAGATTTGGTTTGCCATGGGCTGCCTGACCCCCAGTCTTTGGGACTTGATGACCTTTGGCAGGACAGGTAAGGGAGTGTGTTCATCCTGAGTTGCCCTCTCTTCCCTCCAGCCCTCAGCAAGCCCAAGACATTGGCGGCACCCCCAGTAATAGTACTGAGTGTGACATGGTGCTAGTAGGCCCGGTGCTAAGGGCTTTATTCATCACTGCCCTGCTGCAGGGTTTCATAAACTACCCAAGAGCCAAAAAAAGGAGATCAACCCCCTTACTATCCACATTCAGCAGTGAGAGGAGAGCACACTTGCCCAAGGCCTCCAGCCAGTGTGTGGGGATGGGAGTGGGACTTGGGTCTTCTGGTCCTAGAATTCCAGTTCTTAAATAACCGGGCACCAGGCCCTGCACTCAATATACATCAGTGATTAAGAGCTGGAACACTCATCATCGCTAATAGTGTATTTAATGTTTACTCTGGCCCAGCCACTGTCCTAACCATATGCCTCATTTCATGAAGTCCCCATTTTACAGAGGAGGAAACTGAGGCTCAGGGAGGTAGAAGTCCCTTGCAAAATGCCTTACAGCTTATACTAGAGCCAGGACATGGGCTGCTCCCACAGGTGCTTTTTCCCCTTATGTGTGTCCCCGTGATTCAGCACCCCCTGTGTGCCAGGACCTCTTCGGGTGCTGCATTTCCAACACCAGGAAAAGAGACCCAAGGGATCTGGTGCATTTGTGGAAACATTGCCCGCCTCACGGCCTAAGTGCTCAACTGCTCAGGAGCCACAGTGCCCCTAGGCACACCCAAATCTGCCTCTGGGCTTGGAGTCCTCACTCGTAGGATGGACAGGGGCTGCCAGCGCTGACGTGGAATTGCATGACTGCGTCTAGACCAGTGATGGCGAACCTTTTGAGCTCGGCGTGTCAGCGTTTTGAAAAACCCTAACTTAACTCTGGTGCTGTGTCACATATAGAAATTTTTTGATATTTGCAACCATAGTAAAACAAAGACTTTATATTTTTGATATTTATTTTGTATATTTAAATGCCATTTAACAAAGAAAAATCAACCAAAAAAATGAGTTCGCGTGTCACCTCTGACACGCATGTCATAGGTTCGCCATCACTGGTCTAGACCCTGCCGCGCCAGGGACTTGTCAGGTGACGCCCAGCAAGTCCCGCCCCCTCTGCTGCCTTTATTTCCTATGCCTGCGAGGGTGGGTGTCAGCTTCCTCACCTGTGGAGTGGAGAGATGACTCCTCAGAGCCTCCAGCTCGGCTGTCTCAGGAAGACCCAGGTCTTACTGCTGCCGAGGTTCAGGCAGGGGCCAGCTTGGGAGGGGCGTGGAACGGCGGGCTGAGCTTGCTCTTTATCTGTGGGCAGCCGTGGGGAGGGCTTGAGCAGCGGAGGGGGAAGTCTGCTGTGGACGTTGGAGTCCTGTTGGCCTATGGGGACTGAGTCTAGAGCCTGGGAGATGAGGCAAGGCAGGGCTGGGGCAGGAACTGGGTGGAGAGGTGAGACCTGAGCTGGAACAGGGCCTAAGGGGGTTAGATGGGAGATGGGGAATGGAGAGATGAAGGCAGAAGGGCCGGGACATGGTGACTAGTTGGAGACAAAAGTGACCCTTTCAATCTCAATCTTGGGCCCAATGTGGAGAGAGCACTCACTACGCATGCCCACCTTTCCACCCCCGCCACTGGGGCCAGTGAGTCCTGTTTAGGGTGGTGTCTGAGGGCCCCAGGTATAAGCTGTGGGCTGTGCGCTGAGAATGGATTTGGAAAGGATTATCTGTCTTACACATCTGGGATCTGGGATATCCCTACCGTGACCCCCCACACCCTTTTTGGTGCAGCAAGACCCATGTGAACCCCAGTAGTCCCGGCAAAGCCAATGAATGGGAGGCCCCGGGGAAAAGAGGAACCCATTTGCAAAACAGAGCACTCTTCAGCCAAGAGCATCAGCACCCCCTTAATCGTCCAGGTCAAAGCAGACCCTCTGAGTCAGGAGCTGTTTCCTAGGGTTAGGGGTCATTTGAGACCCCCAAAGGAGGCAAGAACCATCACCAGCTCCTGGGAGATCCACAGGGAGTATTTGTGAGCACCTGGGGGTGAGCAGCTCCCTGCACCACAGTCCCCGCGTTGCCACTGGCCTCGTACCCAGCCTCAGAGCCTTGTGTGAGTTCCTGCCTCTAAACCTGACCCTTGTCTAAGCCCACAGAAGCCCTGGGCAAGCCACCCTGTCCACAACCCCAGCCTGCGAGTTCTGGAGTTTTAATCATGTGATCCTTGAATCAGCCAAAGAGTTTGGTTTCACTGGGTGCCTGGTCCAGACGCAAGAAATGCTCACCCACGTGTGTGCACGTTTTCTGTCACTCACAGCCACATGCAGCTTTCAGATCCCGACACAGTCACCGTCATTCAGACCACAGCCTTTCAGCACAATCCCAGTATCCGAGCACGCGCACACGCACACCATGAGGACAAACCGCCCCCCCCCTCCCCGCTCACCGCCACGTCTCAGCAAACTACTCTCTGCCTTAGACACATGGCATCCATATCATGGAGACTCGCCAGGATTCCTCCCAGTCAGCACACCAGCACGCTTACCCACACAGTCACACTCAGACACACGCCATCTTTCTGAAAGACCATTCTCTCTCCTTTGATGCTCAGAGAAACCGCCTGCCCCGCTCTCACCACCTCTGCACCAAGGCCAGCCCAGGGGCCATGTGGCGCCCTCTGCTGGCCACCCGGCCCACCATCACTCACAGGCCCAGGCTGTCCATCTGCCCACCTCTGCTTAACCCGGTTGCTAGGCACCATTGTGCCAATCCTGGGCTCGGATTGGCTGCCCTTCCCCCCTCCAGAGGAGGCCTTTAGGACACTGGGGTTCTCAGAAAGGGATATGACATTGCAACTAAAATAAGTACCTTAGTGGGCACTGATCCCTGCTCAGCCACCCACGTAGGTCGACAGTTGGCTTTGTCTTGCATGCAGGCTGGGCCGCCGTCACCCCACCAATCCCCCTTGGCCACTTAGGGACCCGAGAGAGAGACCACCAAGGTGCCCTTGGCCCACCACCCATACCTCGAACTTCTCTCCCCCCAGGATCAATTCCTGTCCCAGTTGAGTGAATCCCTCTTCCACTCGGGCTCCCCTGCTTCCGTACCACCCCCGCCGGCAGCGCAGCTCCCAGTCACCACACTGGCCTTTGCGTTTGGGTGGTTGGCTTTGTTAAGGTTGGGTTTGTGGGCGAGGCGGGGGGTCAGGGGCTGCACGTTCACTTGTCCTCCAAGTCACGCTTCTTCCAGCTGTCCAGAATGTACTTGAGGAGGAGGCCCAGCTTCCGGCGGGTGGACAGCGGGGCTTCCTCGCCTCCTCCCTCCCCGACCCCGCACTTCTCCACGACATTGTCGCCGGCCGCGTCCAAGCTGACCTCGGGCTGGGACTCCTCCTCCTCCTCCAGGGCCTTGATGCGCACCCGCTGGGCGTCCTCGGCCATCTCGTTGAGGCAGCCCTGGAGCATGGTGTAGACGGTGCCGAAACTGATGCCGCCGGCCACCAGCGTCCCGAA